TAACGAATTGTAGGAGTAAGGATTGGGTTATACCAGAATGTCTTAACTTCTTGATGTAGAAGGTGGTAAGACGGAATATTTTCTTAGAAATCATCAAGATATGAGACGACCAGGAAAGATCAGCAGATGGAATGACGCCAAGATATATAATTTCAGACTTGGTTTCTATTTCAATACCATCTATGTTGCACACTTCGTGAGTGCTAACCAGTTTGTTTAGGTCAGATTTATGCCTAAAGGTGAAATTGACTGTTTGACATTTGGAGGGATTTAAGGTTAGACCGTTTTCTTTGAACCACTGGCTGATTTCTAATAAAAAACCGTTTAGTTTAGAGCAGTCACTTTGACATTTGACAGGCAAAGATACAGTCAGGTCGTCAGTATATTTGACAGAATTAATGTCATTTGAAGATGGTAAGTCATGTAGAAAGAAAGAAGGAAAAGAGAAGTGGGAAGAGTACAGACCTTGAGGGACACCAGCTTCAGTGAGCACAGCAGAGGAGGATTTACCTTTGTATATAGTGTACTGCATTCGATTTGAGAAGTAGGAATGCAATCAGTTAGTGACCCAGAACTCAGTTTGTGTCATCGAGAGCTTATTTCGCCAGAGAAATCTAGGTACAGAGTCAAAAGCAGAAGTGAAGTCGAGAAACGTGCAACCAACGTATTTGGCACCTTTATCTAATGATGATACGATCCAGTTAAGAAAAATAATATAACTCACCAAATACTGTGTAATGACTGTGAGTTCAATTACATTGGTCAGTCAAACGAGTGGGGATCGGGGTCAGTAAGTTAGACTATTGGAAAGTAAAATTTTGCCTAAAAGTGGAATAGTTGATCATGGTAAGTTAAATAACCTATAAAAAATACAGGTTATTCATTGCTTTGTATTCACTTTCATGCAGTCAGACAACGATAAGTTGGAACAGGGTGAGAGTATTGAAGAGTCATATAGTTAAGTGGAGACACACAGAGATTCATCACTGAAGTTTCATCTATCGATTCAACACCAAAATGCGTACAGTTTGAATGAGATGCAACACCTGTACCGGAGATATGGAAAGGCGTGGCACAAAAGAGTGGGAAGCTGGAGAGACAGAAAGAAGGAATATATTGTTTCTTTTTTGTCTGGTTGATAACTGAGGTTTCGCAAATTTGCGGTAATTTGAATTACCGAATTATGTGCCACATCTTGCTTTGGCGTGCTAATGAAAAGTGATAAATAAATTTTACAGGATTCCAAGCGTACAAAGCAATCTGTCTCATGGAAAGTTGGTATACAAGTTGGAGAGCTTGTACTGTAACTGAGCTATCTAGCACGTATTTATCGACGTATTTATTTATTTATCTAGCCATGTAAGTCGGTGGCACAGTGTTTAGGACTCTTGCCGACCATGCATATGGTCCGGGGTTCGATCCCCTGCCGACGCACACCTGATATCTATAGTCGGCCTGCAAAATTTGGGCTACCGATATCACGTTCTGAAAATTCCATACTTATACCAAAATTACGGCGTGGAATCAAGTTGTGAAGCCGCGTGACTTAAGTGATGTGAATATGAGGAAAAATAAGTCATGCTCTAAATCCTGTCATCCATTTGCTAATACTGCATCATCACCATATGATATTTGAAGTGAACTTATCTAATATGGAATTGCACTCTACCACAATTTTCAAACTCTACACTTACATCAATGACTTTGGTTATTTATTTATCATTCCATAAAATCAACAGAGTGAAAGAAAATACTCTACCGCAGTCTCCTAAACTAGATCAGCTTAACATGCATGAAATTACGCCCTACTACAGCTAGTATGTTCTTATCTCATACTAAAATAGCATGTCTATTTTGCAAGTCTTTTCTTCAGGAGATAGATGATGAAATATAGTTTGTCCGTGGTAAACTTCAGTCGAGACTTTGTCATTAAATGTGCTATACGCGAAATTAGGTCTTCAGAATTTCATCATGAACTGACATTGGTTAGAGGACAACTGGAAAACTTGGGAGTACTGGACAGTTGTTTCGTCCTACTCTGGAGTTTTCAGCAGTACGCACCCACCGGGATTCCAACCCAGGACCTTCTGATTACAAGGCGAGTGGCTCGTAGACCAGTAAGCCACTGGGACCCGATCCAATGGCCAGCCCATGAATTCTAACTTCTGTCAATTCACGAACACGATCCCCAGCCAATGTCTTCGGCGAATATTTGTACTCACATCCGACCTGCTACACCCCACTGGTCACGACTTCTCACTAGAACCCCAGGTAATAACCTACCTGAAAAGGGCAAGTCACTAGTGAGCACCTCATCGATATTTAAGTGTTGGTTTGCAGGGGTTTGTTTGGTTACAGGATTTCATCATGAGATGACATTGGTTAGAGAACCATTGGAACCACTAGCGAGAAGTTGTGACCAGTAAGGTGCAGCAGGTCGGGTATGAGGACAAATACTCGCCGAAGACATTGGCTAGGGGTCGCGCTATGTCGTGAATTGGTAGAAGCTAGAATTCATGGGCCATTGGATTTGGTCCCAGTGGCTTAATGGTATACGAGCCACTTCGTCTTGTAACCAGAAAGTCCTGGGTTCGAATCCCGGTGGGTGAGTACTGATGAAGACTCCCAAACTAGGACGAAACAGCTGTCTAGTACTCCCAGGTTTTCCAGTTGTCCTCTAACCAATGTCACCTCATGATGAAATCCTGTAGCCAGTCAAATCCCTACAAACCAACACTTGAACATTCATGAATTATTCAACGGGAAAATCAAAGTTGAATTAAAAATCACAAATTCCTTAATAGTCTGAATAACAAACTATCACACTGGTTAAAAATTTCATTTCTACATGGATTGCTAGGTATCTTGCTTTCCTCCTCACAGCAGATTAAAGCTGCTTGCCTTCGTCTTCTACAGGCATAGAGTAAGTGCAGTCTCACATACATTCCCACATACAACTTAGCACATGTCGTGTTGTCTTCCAGATAAGTGAATTAAAAATTGTCCACGTCAAAATGCTGCATAAGAATTTCAAATGCACAATTTAATATCAAGAGACAGTGGGGGAGGGAATTATAATCATAACAGACAGACAGAATGTTTAGTGGGGATACAAATTTTCATGCATACAATTTTGTACATAGCATCATATATAGATAAAATACAGACCATCTATTGTGTGTGTGTTTTGTGTGTTCATGCTTATACTATTCACTTTTCCGCTTTTTGATTGGTTAGCTAACTCGAATTCTTGCCCGCTCCGCCCCCCCCCTAATGTGGTAAATCAACCAATTAATGATAAAGAAGGAGAAGGGATTATGGAGGTGACTGCTTATTTCTTTTTATAATCCTCACATCATTCCTATCCCACCTACCCCCAAAAATAATAATACTGATTGTAGCATATAATAATAAACTTCATTATGATCTTCCCCACCATTTTTTATTGCCCAGTCTGAACTGAACTGTGTACAGCTACCTCTTCACTGATTCAAGAAGAAAGCAGAGAAATTAAAGGACTAGGATTAATATAAAAAGTTGAGGGAGGGGTAGGGGAGATTTATAAAATAATCTCACGTGTCTGTGTGTATATGTGTGGATACATGCATGTATTCATCATGTCTATTGGGATACAGTTTTTGTCGAATAATAATAATAATAATTAACCCTGTACCTAAAAATGGGGAGAATGAGAAGGCGCACATCAAATTATTCATTTCAATATCCAATCCATTCACTTGATTAATTCACATTCATCTCATCCCTGTATTAATAATTGTGGTTGTTCTACTATCAATATTTTCCCATATTATTATTATTATTTGACTGTATTTCCAATATAATACAGATTGTGTATGCATTTTTCAAAATTCAAATCATTATATCTAATTAGCACTGTGTGAATTGTGTGATTGGATCTCTTGGAAACGATTAGAGCATTACTGCGGCATTCCTGTGAGTCAAAGTGTAACTACTGTTTTTTAAGTCTTCGATGTGATTAAATATTTTATCTATTTATTTATTAATAATAATTATTATATTATTGTTCCCATGGGTTCGGAGTGGAATATTAGGAGTCAACAACATATCTCCATTTTGTTCTATTCTCTGAGGTCCTTACGATTTCCTATAGTCTCTCATCTTCTCCATATCAACCTCAGACACATGCACAACTCGTCTTTTTCTGTTTGATTTCCACCCGATGGATGGCTTGGTGCGCGATGTCACCCGACGACCTCTTCAGAATGTGACTGATCCGCCTCTATTTTCTTAGGAATATTTGTTGAGCAACAGATTCTTGATTGATTGGTTCGTTCCCAGAGTTTTCTGTTGGTAAGTTTTTCTGGCCAGCCATCTAATCTTCATTATAGAGCTATCAAATACAGCTGTTGATGAAAGTCCACAGTTGCCTATTGGAAATACATTTCATGATACACTTGTCAAGTTTCTGAGCCATATAGAAGAACGTTAGTGTTGAGAAGCCTAAATTTGTTCTCACTACTGAGTATAGAAGATTTCCAAACGGTCTTGCCTTTCCGACTCAATTATATGCCCATACAGGAGATAATTTTAAACCAAATGCTCCAATTGTATTTATTAATTATTTATTTAAAACACAAAACCTGGTACAGTATAGGCATCAATAAGATGTGCCACACATACATGTGATGAATTTTCCTCAATATTTGTTGTTTCATTTTTAGTGCCAGGGCTGAGGTACTGTTCTGTATCTCTCCCGCCTCGAGCTAATGATTTGAAGTAGCATTCACATGGCAGAGGAGTAGCGTTAGGAGACCATTGTAGGCTGATTCACACACTATTTGATACGTTCTGATTCTGCAGCCCACGTACCCTCCCTCCCCCTGACAGCAGCCGCTATGCACAAAATACCTTCCTGTCGTAGCTTGTTAGGTCACTGTGGTATGCACACCCGACCACTGCGGTAAAGTGGCAGTAATCGGCCAGGATGTTCCACTTGGAAAGGGAGGAAATAAAAACAAAACGAAAAACACAATTCTTATGCTCTTAGAGCTCTTTATTTTTATTATGCTTATTTATGCTTTTCCTAAAAGAAAAATACTATTTCTTTCAGGTAGTAATATTCGTATCATTTTATACATTATCAAGGTGCCTGATATTAATTCGTAGAAGAAACCAAGACCCAGGAATATTTGTCCAATAAGCATCTAATGTGTGATCTATTGTCACAACAGCAACAACAACAAACACCATCCACACAACAGAGAACAGGACAGAAATTGTCCTCTAGACAAATAAATAAAAATCAAAGTCAAAACCATTTATCACTTATGGATACTACTACTAATCCTACGCATGCACTCTCTTCCACCATCAGTACCACCTCTAATACTACTACTACGGCTCGTACTATTTCTAATTCACCGGAAGTATCCTCTAATATTTCTACTCCAAGTACAAATTCAAATCGTTTAAACTTATCAAATAATGTTAGTTGTCGTTCGTCTAAATCAAGACAGCAAGTGCAACAATCTGATTTGAATTGTTCACTTGAGAATGTTATTACTACTGATATTGCACCAGTAATGTCCAGTGCTACTAATAGTGCTAATAGTAATAATAATAATGATAACTCTACTGATATCAGCGGTATATACAAGCCATGGTCACCTAAAGAGAATTCTAATGTCAAGCAACAACAAAACTGTTCATCATCGAATGAATCTTTGCCCACATTAAATGATCCCACAGTCGATCAACAGTATTCCCTAACAAAAAGTGAACGGAGAAGTAAATTACTAAACAGTACAAATGACGCACATTTATTACATAACAATCAATCAGATTTAAAAAGTAAAAATGATCACTGCTCAGTAAATTCATCAAGATCACACATTCATCACCGGTATCCCCATCGTCCACGTCATCGTCAGCAGGAGCAGCAGCAGAGAAATTGTCTTCTGCTTCATCATCTCCTGTCAAACCCCGATCCCCGTCTAATCACAGTCGATCACCAAGAGAAGTCGATAATTCCCAGTGGAATGATACCATAAATGATGGAAATATGATTAATTCTTGCAGTAATTTAAATCCTGTGACAGATGCTACTGAGAAGATGAATCTGGTAAGTTGACGATGACTTGCTTTGAATATTTATGTCATTGAACTTTACCATTTACAAGAGATATATGTGTAGCTGAATACCTTAAGGTATGTTGTTCGAATCCTGTTGCGTCTACTTTATAGTGGGCACACACTGTCTGTCCGTCTATTTTTAACATAGAACTTTGCACCGATGTGCAGCAATTCAAGTCGCCACACTCCATTCAGCACACAAAGCAACAGAAGAAGTAGAAGAACTGTATAATAGAGACAGTAAACAGAGGTGTGAGACAAAGGAATAGTAATAACAAAGAACAATATAGTTTCACTGGAAATCACAAGTCACAAGAAGTGGATGCATCTGCGCTAGACATTGAGAACGGTTTTGAGCCATGTCACCAATTGTTTCCAACCATTGGTTTTAACCGTCCCGAGGACCCCAACCAGGAAGGAAGTCTACACCTTCATACGTGACTAGCGTAAACTAACTGTTGTGGATTTCATTAACTGGTGCCATGTTTTGGTTTGAACGCCGCTAGCTCTTTTCCAGCCTGACTAATCCTATGTCAGCTAACATTGCCCATCGTTCGAGGAAGGCGATGACTAGGCATCCGTAACACATATCCTAACCGTCTCAGTCTTTGTAGCTTCACGACTTCGTCTATTGATTTCCCCTGTTTACCTAGAACTCGACGCCTAACCTCATTATTGCTCACCTTATTATACCACCACCTGACACGGGAGATAGAGCGCAGGCACCTATGATCAAAGACAGGTAGCCTTTTCATGTCTTCCACTCTGAATGGCCAGTCTCACAACCATAAAGGAGGACGGAGCGGACTGATGAGCAGTACACTCGCCGTTTGGTCAATAGACGGATATCTCGTCTACGCCAGACACGGTGTAAATTGGGTGGGCACACATACAAACACCCCTAGGACGTTTTTGTTCCCATTCTAGTACATATAAGTCTGTTCTAACAATAGTCACTAAATCAATGCAAGTAGGAGTACTATTTCCGCAAGAAGAGTGTCTTGTGTATGAGCAGAACCAGGAGAAGGATAACAGTAATACCAAATTAGCTAGTTCATTAGGCATATCACACAGTGAAACGGTATTGATGAAATTTATTCTGGTCTTACCCAGAATGGAAAGACTGAGAACAACGAGGATGTTCGGTATCGGCCAACATAATTTCATCCAACTGCTTACAAGAATTCAAGTCGAAGGGACACACACACACACAGTAACAATGCTCGCTCACAGACTTCAATCTCCGACGTAATAGATAATGACATAGTCTTTCCTGAGAAGTCGACCAAGGAAGAATACGTGTGAGGAACAATAAAGAAGAGTGGACAGATACATGAATTAATCAACTGTAAGAGAAGAGATTGATTTGTGTCAACAGAAATTCTCAACATACGTATGGATTCAGTCAAGTGAAATTATTTTCAAGTGTTGGTTTGTAGGGATTTGATTGGTTACAGGATTTCATCATGAGCTGATATTAGTCAAGAACCACTGGAAAACCTGAAGGTACTGGACAACTTTATCGTCCTAGTTTGGGAGTCTTCATCAGTACGCACCCACCGGGATTCGAGCCCAGGACTTTCTGATTACAAGGCGGGCTCGTATGCCTTTAGGCCACTGGGACCCAAATTATTTTGTTAGAATGCACAAGATATGAGACGACCAAGAGAGATTCGAGGAGAAAGTGATTCAGAGATCAGAGATATTCGGTTTACTCCCTATCACACAGTGTTGTGAATATTACAGGAGTCATGTGACTGAATCAATCAGTTATCTGAGACTGAAATCAACAATACGACACTTGTAGGGATTGAGTTTAAGACCATTTAGATGAGACGATTGGTAAACTTTAGGTGACAATCTACTCATCATGTAAGAACAATGGAATGCAGAAACTATCGGTGCAGAAATGGTTAAATTATCGGCATATTTAATAAAGTTACATATGGAAAGATACTGATGGTCATGCAAAAAGATGTCCTAGATCAAGTATGAAACGAAATACACACAGATTCTGAAACTATGTACACTCTGGAGTTATTCCATGTTAGCTTCATTATAGCTGTAGAGTTTTTGTTCAGTGAATGATGGAGCAGGGATATCGTTTTATGCGAGCGATGAGCCTTCCTTAATTATCCTCTGTACCTACTAGGCCTCTCTTAATAAACAAGCTTGCCAGTGTGAAACAAGTAGGACTTGGGACTTCTAACTTCTCTGATGGGAAGCAGTTTAGCGTATATACATTAGGAGAGGTCTTCCTCCACTGCTTCACTTACTGCAGAAGGTTTTCCTCACTTATAGTGCAGTTCTTTCCCCCTGTTTCCTGTCTTCTCTCTCCTGACATGACTTACTTGCCTCGTTCTGACGAAGTCAGTTTAGTTAAGCATGCCAACGAACTGACCGTTTCAGTGCAAGCGATTACTCCACGATCAAACTGTTCTAAAATGATTAACTTTTTATCAACATAATTAGTCAGTGGTCATTGTCAAATGGTTCTTAAGCTAAATTCTCCAAAATGTCAGGTTGCTAATTTTACTTTCAGGTGCAAGCGCGACATGTGCGAACTGGTTAGTTAGTACGTCTCCACTATCATAGATGGCACTGAAGTTGAAACCAAATCGAATGTTAAATATCTTGGAATATGTATTTTTCTCTGATCACCTTTCCTGGTCTTCCTACATCATGTTAGTTTCCAGAAAGATATTTCGTTTGAGGTTCTATGTAAGGAAGTAAGACAATCTGGTATCATTCGTTAGTCTCTACTGTTACAGTCTGTTAATTCTAGTATTCCGCTATACTTCTTTACTCTTCCCCACCTTAATCTTTTCCAGGCTACTTAAGAAAGACTACTTCGTTACACTGTGGAGGGCACTCAAAGATGTCAACAAAGAGAGACAAGGGGTGTTGTTGCACCAAGTCGTTAAAACTACTGTAGACAGACACACGGACTCATGCAAGAAATTAGCAAATGTTATCCTGTCAGACTCTGAACACCCTCCCCATACACAACTCTCTCCTTGGATTTCATAGGATAGAACTACAAACAACAATAGAAGACTGTGTGCTCGGACGACTAAGTATCAAAACTCTACAGTACAGCACACATTTTATAAGAACCAAGCGGTTTTACCAGTTCATATAGGTCTGGTTCTGTCTGAAAGTGAAATTAATGAACTGATATTTGGAGGGATCTAGCTACAAACCATTTGACTAGGATAGAAAGAAATTTATCCGTATCAAAACAGTCCATTCAAGTTGTCCTACCTACAGATTTCTGTTTCGCTTTTTTCGCCGAAAAGTGTTTTTGATCCCTAAACTGAGTATTCGCTTCTAATGATCAGCAACAGGATTCATTGTGAATCACCATTCCTTGGTTTAACATTAACTAATCCCTTTGCCTAATCAGTTTTACTATGGTTAACATTCTGTGATAAAGTTGACAGTATAGCTGGAGATTTATAAACTTTTGGTAAATATTGTCACTGGCCTTTATAGTAACATTACTGTCTCTAGTAATCAATCTTATCAGAATGGTGTACAAAGCAGTTAGTAGTTAGCAGCCAGTGGACCGCCAATGTGTCTACCCAGGTTTCCAATTAATTTTCAGACATTATCCATTACAACAATTAACTGCTACGCCTTTCATTTTTTAAATGAGTATTTCTCCCGCATCATCCCATAAATGTTACATTACAGAATACTTTATTCAATCCCTGCTGCATAATTGTTGGGTAGTGTGTGTCCTTCACTGATTTGTTTACACAGTTTCTTATTGTTTATCCTCTATGACTATCCAACACCAAGTATCTTGGAGCCTAAATGATTTCCAGTAAAATATTCAATGTGACAAAGTGGAGATGTGTTGTTGAAGCCCTTTGTCTTACTCAGAACCCAAAGGAATAATAATAATAATTCCGTATGACATTTTAAATTAAGAAGAAGTTAGCGCACCAGCAGGAACCGATTGTGAAACAAATAGGCAGGAAGAAATGTAGATGGATTGGCTGGTCATACACTGAGGAAACAAACAATCAAGTGACACCACACGGCAACCATTGCTCGAGTGGAACCTGAAAGGGAAGAGGGCGGCGAGTTGGTCGTCAGTGCAAGGGTGACTTGGAGGAGTTATGTGAAGAGGAAATGAAAGCATGTGGCAGACTTGGAGCGGGGTGAAAAAGTTGGCAGAAAACCGAACGCGCAGCTGAAACCCTATGTTCCTCTAGGAATTAAAGGATATAATAATAATAATGCACTCAGACATAACTCAACCCCTCTCCTCATCCTCTCACAGTTTGTCAAATCTTGTATCTTATCCATTCTTCTTTATTTTTCACACTTAATTATTCTTCCCTGGGTTACTTAGACTGTCATACTTTATAGAACTCTGAAGACTGTCAGTGGTGCGAGTGGTGTCATGTCCGATTGGACCAAGTCGTTGACATCATCATTGATGATAGGCACTTAGTAATTTAATGAAATAAATTTGCTAAAGGGATTTTTAAGAAGTTATATCCTGTGAGGGAATTGAATCAAAGGTGTGAATGCACAAATTAATAATAATAGTAGTATGAAATGCAATTAAAAACTAAAATGTTTGTGATTATAATCATAGGTAAATGTCAAGTGGCAAAACAATTATTGTCGGTGGCACAGTGGTTAGGACTCTCGCTGACCATGCACATGGTCGGGGGTTCGAGCCCACGACGACACACACTTGATATCTATGGTCGGCCTGCGAATTTTGGGCTACCGATATCCACGCTGAAAATTCCATACTGGTACCAAAAATACGGTGTGGAATCAAGCTGTAATCAAAAATTAAAATTAAATTGTCATATAAAGAATAATTCATAGGATGGATAGAATTTTTAAAGGGTGTGCGATTATAGGATTAGTAGACAAATCGAATAAAATAGAAACGTTACGTAATATTGTGCGAAATTTGATAGCATTGAATTTAACGTTGTAAAAAGGAATTGATTTAGAATG